GGAGCGACATAATATAACATTTATATTAATTCAACAAATTTTGTTCACCAACTATGATTTGTCCATAAGTAGGATCGCTCCCCCCCCCCAAACCTAAAGGGTTTAGGTGGGAAGGGCAGTAGAGGTATTCGCTCCCCCCCCCCCCCCCCCGATCGGTCAACAGGGGAAAGACATATATATAAAGATCGGTTAAAATATCAATAACAAGTTTTAATCATATAGATATTTAATTGATTCTGTTAGCAAGCTGTGATTTCTGAAAATAAATTGGACCGCCCCCCCACTCAAAAGTTTATTGGGAGGGGGGCGGATTGATGCCATCGCCCCCTCCCGACCCCACCAAATCGGCCAACATACTAGAGGGGGGGGGGGCGAAACAATCTAAAAATATGTTAAAAATATAAATAATGGGGCCATCGCCCCTAATATATAGATAGATAGATAGATAGATAGATAGATAGATAGATAGATAGATAGATAGATGGATAGATAGATAGATAGATAGATAGATAGGTAGATAGGTAGTTTTCGAGAGTAGGAAGGTGAGAAAGAGGGGCAGGCTTACTTTTATGTGTGTATGTGGGTGGGTGTGGCTGTGCTAGGCTGTGTATGTATGTGAAGCTGGCTTGGTGGGGGGTGTTAAAAGATAATAATGTTAGTGATTAATTGACCTCTAAGCCTAAGTCTAGTGCTATGGGGTCAACTAAGTTAAACCAATTATCTGCTCTCAACCTAACAGATGTAGATCTACGCCTGGAATGAATGGAAGAGGTCAGGACAATGGGGAGGTTGGTTAAATCGTTGGGGGAGAGGAGGTAAACATATGTCTGGATTTCATACTCAGAATAATTTCATTCAGAGTTAATCATCTTTCTTCTACTATATGTGATTGTGTAGATTATCTCAAAAATTATTTTTTGTAAAAGTGTATAGCGAAAACGTACTTGTATTAAGGTCACGTTGTATGTCCAGGATCGAGGTTTGGGCTGCGTAGTTTGTGATATGAAAGTTTTAAAGGCTTAGTTCGGTTAAGTCTCGAGTTCTTGATCATACAACTGGATCTATCCGAGAATGTATTGGACCAAAGATTGCAGTCTCGTGTTACCACTGATAACAATGTTATGGTTTCGGAGTGTGTAGTTAAGGTATGGCTCTAATTTTTACAATTACTAAAAATACATAAAAGTGCAATCATATTTTTTTTTAGTTTGTGTTTGAAACACTACCAAATATGGAACACGCAGGTGTTGTCTCAAGGTGTTTCTCAAGGTGTTGTCTCAAGGTGTCTCAAGGTGTTGTCTCAAGGTGTTGTCTCAAGGTGTTGTGTTGTCTCAAGGTGTTGTCTCAAAGAGAGCAAAACTAAAGAAGAAAACGTAGGAAACAGAATGCCCTCTGACACGTCATACTAAAAACTTGTCACTTATTACCAGAAATAAACTTTAAAGAAAATTAATGATCGTTGTGATTTGTCCTATAATTGTATTTCAATTTGAATGGCCGGTGTCCACATTACAGTGTTTAGAAAGACAATCTATCATTTGTACATGTTTGAGAACTGTTTTATCTTATTTCTATACAATTTGCATAATTCGTTGGCCTCCTTCAGTCGTAGAAAAAATATAGTTTATCTCGTAGAACACTTGTTCAGGTCCAGGTGACGTTTGCGTATGTGAAAATAAACCAGCAATTTCATGTTTGGCAGGCTTCTCTTCCATATTAGAAGTCATTGCTTTTTCCTCTCTCAACATAATGCGGTCTACCGTCGAAGGCTATGTTTTCCCAGAAGTCAGCATCGATGACCATTTCTTGGAGGTCTCGTTTGATTACATCCATATAACGGAGTTTGGGTGACCAGGTTTTCTTGAGCCAGTCGCAAGTTGCCCGTACCGTAGAGGATGACTTTAGGGATGTGTTGCCTGTGGGTGAAATACTGTGGAGACCTGAGCAGGTTAGTATCTCAGCTTCGCTTGTTCTGTAATTCTCAAGATACGGCGGAGACAACGCACGAGGAACGCGTTTAGTTTGCGCTCTTATTTTGCATATGTGGTGTATGCTACCGTATACGCGTACAGTATGGTACTCAGAACACTTGTGTTGTAGACTTGGATCTTTGTTTTCGATATGAATTTTTTTTATTTGTTTGTTTTCCCAGGTTAGGAGTCAGTTACAGGGATCAGGTCTCAAGCAAAGAAATCATACGCCGAACGGGGAGTCGACCACTTAATTACATTGTGACAGAGCGTCGCATGAGGTTTGCGAGACATGTTCTCCGACAGAATGAATTATGCATACCAAAAGTTGCGATGACATGGAGGCCAATACGTGGAAAGCGCAAATAGGGACGTCCTAGTTTAACTTGGCACAGCACTTTCATGGAGGACCTCAGAGCGGTAAACACCAGGTGGGAAGGGTCTTCAAGATATTGCCAGTAACAGATCTTTGTGGAGACAGCCTGCCGCCCAATGCGCCAAACGGCGGGGAAGATCTTGTCTAAGTAAATTGTTTTCCCAGACACGCGATTTCAATCTATCGAAAGTTAAAGCAGCCTTACCAATGACCATTTTGATCCTATCGTCTAAGGACAGAAGCGTCTAGAATTGTTGAGCCCAAGTAGCAGAATTAGTGCACAATATCTAGCAGAGATTCATCTAGAGATAGGGTTGGTGGCGCAGTCTCGGTTCCATCACATCGGTCTTTTTTATGCTGATTGTCAGCACATAAACTTTACAGGCCTGGGAAAAACTGAACATTAGTGGCTGCAGCTTCTCCTGTGTGTGTGTGTCACCACTGTTGCATCACATTGCACAAATAGTGTACATTATTTTAGAAAAATCAAGAAGACAATGGGCTTTACGAAATCCTATGCATCCATTTTACTTGTAAATATGCACTGAAAAAAAAATCGAATTTACAATAATAGAAACATAATTCTAGTTGTCTCAAAAATTATCTTGTTCTGACTGTGGATATCTTCCTTTGAATACATCACATTGATTCCAAATACAATAATACAATAAATAAAAGATGTAGATAATTCGGTTCACTGGGTGCAAAGACTGGCTTCGAATTAGAACGCCCACTTCTTTCCCTACCCCTATTTGTATTTGAACACATGATTAAATGATTTCTTGATCCTCTTTAAACACTTTTGTTTTTGGTTAATGTGACACTGTAAATAGCAATGGATTATAAACAAAGTATTTTCCCGAATTTCGCTACAAAAGTACGTCCCATTCTCCCACCTTTATTGTTAATTTAATAGGATCATTTCCTAAGAGGTAAACAATTTTCCTTTTTTTTATAAAAATCCATCATTCATTAGTTATTAAGAGCAAAATAATGGCTCTTACAAAACGTCATCAACTTCTTCAACAGATGAATTGTCTTCTTCACAAATATTTTGTGTATGTTGCTGATCACTTTTGGGTTTGTCGCTTAGGACACGGTTAGGCAGACATCCTTTCTTCTTTTTCTACTTCTGTTGTTCGTTTGTTTAACATCCTGATTGCCGCCAGCAGAATTTTTTTTTTTTTGGTTACAATTTTAGGGATAGTCTGCGTAGCTATTGGTAAGAGACGTCAAGAAGTCACAGCGCAGCCTGCGTGGTTACACTGAATATCTTGTTATCAGCTTCTGCTGTTCTAGCCCATGGTTCACAGACCTTTGTCTAGCAATGAGACCGTGTGACATTGACACTTCAGGCCTTATCATTTTCTACCATTTTAATTTAAGCAATCATTTTAGTAATTATTCAAATATGTGCGCAAATAATTCGTCGCTGGTATTTACTTGGTGAAGACTTATCTCAAAACTTTTTTTTTTCATTTTGAATGGCGATAGCATTTGCACTTGGGGTCTCCCCCTCGTGCTAGGCCACTGCTGATTAGTTTAGCAGCAGTCGGGCATGTAGTGCAGAAACATGCAACAGAAATATACTTAAAATACGTGATTTGATTTCAATCGACGCCGCGTTATTTGGAAGAGGCTTGATAAGGCATGATTCATTCAACAGAAATAGCAGGATTGGCAAAAAAGAAGGTGAGGGTCATTTGACATTGGTGTATCCAGAAAGTTAAACAGGGGCATTACTATTTGAGACCTGTTTACCCTAATTACCTCTCCCTCCCTCTAGATATATACAAAACGTATTTGAAATTGTAAAACAAGATTGTAGAAAAAGTAGAGACAAACAAAAGGTCTTACCTCGCACACAGTGGGGGGGGGGGGTCGTCAATGAGTTATTCTCACATTAAAAGTAAATAGAATAAAATGACTAACACAACTCTTCTATAGTCGATTATTTCCTACAATATATGAAGCTCGAGACCGAAATTTTTATTTCCGTTGGAGGGTAAGTTACAAAATCTTTATATAGCTAGAAATATTTAAGATTGAAGAAAGCTCTTTGAAAGGAAACACCGTAAATTAAGGTTTGCTTTCAAATTTAAATTTAATTCCAATATTCTTTCGAAATTAAAAACAAAAAAAATCAAAATAATTAAGTCGTATGGATGACAAACTAAAGAATGTTTATCTTGCGTACTTGCCCCACCCCGACAGTAAAACTCACTTGCCCGTTATGGTTAAAAATTTTCTGTATCCCTTCTTACTAAAATACTTGTTCGCCCATGTTGTAGAAAGTCCCGCTAGTCCATCTTGTAGAAAGTCCCGCTAGTCCTCTTGTAGAAAGTCCCGCTAGCCCATCTTGTAGAAAGTCCCGCTAGTCCATCTTGTAGAAAGTCCCGCTAGACCACCTGGTAGAAAGTCCCGCTAGCCAAGTTCTAGAAAGTCCGGCTAGCTCATTTTAGCTCTTGTTAAAATCATAACATGTCTCCATTACGCTATATCTTTGGGGGTTTTTTTGTTTAATGCCCATATATACAAACCTTTCTGCATAGAAACACTTTATGATTTTAAAAGTCTGACTTTCTAGTTTGTGATGTGTTTATACCCATGTGTGTGGGTGCGTCCATGTTCGCTAAGAAAAGACAACGAGACATGTTTACAATTTTAGAGTTTAATCCATAGAGTATAGAATTAGTTTCAAATTGTTGACACAGAAATCAAACAATGCAACAAACGGAAGAACATAATAAAAAGACAAAAAAAAACTTCATTTAAAATGTTTACAATAATAATTATGTTACAAAACAACATGTGTCTAAATATGTTCACTTCCGTGTTGTTCATTTTAGTTGTAACAAGTCGTTTATAAAGAATGTCTATAAGGCACTTATGCATAGCAGAAGTATACAAACATTACAGAAGCAGCAAACATTTGAAAACGATGTTTAAACAAGTAAAAACATTAAAAATACTTTTTTTAAAAAGATAATACCTCCTTTATACAAACTTATAGAGCGATTGTTTTTCCCCAGATCTAATACACTTTATAATATTTCAATGATAGCCCTTTAGATATAGACTTACAAGACGATGCGCAAATGTTTTACTGAACATTAATTTATTAAACCTTTGAATCAATAATGCTCTAAATTCGGTAATTTCCGAACGCGATAGTCCTCTCAAGAACCGATGTTGGATCTACATCTAGATCTACTTTTCTGTCAAAATTTAAATTTAATTTTGTCTTTTTTTTTTTTTTTTTTTTTTTTACTTTAAAAATTAAAAAATCAAATTAAAATCAAATGTTGCATTTCTAGTAAAATCGCCAGAGCCGTTTTTGAAAATCCGTGTCCAGGTTCCATCCTCCAGGTGGCATGAAAATCTGACTTGAGTAGGCCTAGAGGTATTGTAAAAAGAATCTCATTGCAAACAAACAAGATGACAAGTCGAACGTTAAAAACACAACAACCGATGAATAGTAAAATTGGTGACAGGAGTAAACATTATAAGGGTTGGGGGTGTTATGGAGTGTGTGTGTGTGTGTGTGTGTGTGTTTACTAGGTGATATTTAAAGGGAGTATTTATTGTAATTTGCAGAGAGAGCATTAACTCCATGCTAGTCTTGTAGAATGATGCAAAATAGGCGGCCCTGTCGTAAGCTGTGTTAAGTAGGGCAGCAGACGACTCCAGAGTGTAAGGACGGGGTTTGATAGTGAGATTTGTTTAAACATCAGTTGATTTCATTTTATCTCAAGTTAAATTTATCTATTTGTAACAAAGGTTATATTTAGTTTCATTCATAAAGAAGTAATTCAAATTATTTCAAGTTGTTTAAGTTAAACTTTTATACGACTACATTGGTTTAGTTGTCTACCAGCAGATAGGTGTTATAAGTCAACCAGCATCAACAACATGGAAAAAAAGAGGTTAGAGAAACAATGATTTGTATAGGACGACTGGATCAGTGAATGGTATTAGAAAACTGGAATATTTCTTGTAAGGGGCAACTAGACGAATGACATATGGAAAACATCACCATTTATTTGAAATGGGGCAACAGTAGCAATGACATGTACAAACCATGAAGTGAACGGGTAAAAAGACCAAGGCTTTAGAAGAGACATACATTTGGTGTCAGTTGTAAGAACAAAGTCAAAGTATGGGGGCATCTGAGACGATCTGGAATCTGAAAACCTATAGTTAGGATGACCTTTATAAGTAGCACATTATTTATATTCTTCACAAATCATGAACACATTTTTTGTGTCCATTGATTCCAAACAATGTGTTTTAAATTGAACTATTGAATTTGCACAATGTTCATTAGTTGTAACTCAATATTTGGAAAGATTTGCCAATGTATTAATGTTATTCAGTAAGTCAGATTTTTCAGCGCAAGGTTTTTATGACTAGAATTTCGTAAATATATTTTAGATTTAATAAAAATATTTTTTTTCTATTTTATTTAGCACCACATGAAAGTTTTTGAAGCTACTTTTCCCCCTAGATCTATAAATGATCACGGATAATTTTGATATTTTGTTAAATGAACAAACATCTTAACAATGGAAATGTTCTACTTTTGGGTTAAACAAACCTTACCAAGGGAATGTCGAATTACGTTCATTGAAAGTTCAATTGTTGAGGGAACAGTAAAATGTAATTTATATCTATAGTCTTATTTAGACTGACAACTTGTTTATACTAGACTAGAAACCAAACAAAATATTTTAAACCTCAACCATTTTAACAGAGTAATAACTAGCAATCAGACTCTCTGTAGATCTATCGAAGTGTATTAAAGAAATTAGATTATAAATACAAAGAAATAAAATTGATTGCTAAAAATTTATATTTCTAAAAATACACTTTTTTTTTAGTTGAATGTCACTCTTCAATACAGAAGGTATGTTTTCTATTCGTCTTCGTTCTATCAATACAATCTGCGTTTGTGCTTATATGTCAGATAGAGTTCTGAGATGTGAGACTTCAATTCATGCACATTCAGAGATTAGTTCCACAGTAGTCAATTATCATAAACCCAGCCACTTCTCCACTTGAGAAATACAAAGTAGATAGTTCATATTATATACCTTCCAGACCATGATGGCTGCGGTATGCGCGCTTGGCTGTCGTTCGGTCGTCTTGATAGTGACGGGTTTAAACCCTAACCCGTTGCCATCCCCCGTCATCAGGCGAAAAGTTTGCTCTAGGAAGTTGAAGGAACATCCGAAACTTGAAAAGCAAACAAAAATTGTATACAACAATACATACATATTTGTTAAAACATATTTCTCAAATAGTAAGAATTATTTCAAATGTTCCATACTACTATTTAAAATCGTATACAACTGAATGATTTGTCTTGAATACAGACATGAACTTAATAGATGAAGACAGCTGACATTGCCGCTATTGTCACAATGAGCAAAAATAGAGCGTATAATGTAAGAACTAGAGTCAAACTTTTGGATGTTTTATCTTTTTTGTCTTTCTCCACTTCTCCATTGACGCTACTGCTCTCTTGGCGTTTACCTGAAAGAGTACAAACAAAATGCAGACTTGTTCAAATTATTGTTTTGATGCAGCGTTAGCAATGGCTTAGAAATGAAAGACAGCCAATGTTATTAAATAAAAACAATTGTGACATTAAGTCAATGGGGATTAACCATTTTCGGCTACGGAATTATATTCATGTCGACTTGTTTGGGGGGGGGGGCACTTAAATAATCGACTTGCGTGTCACTGTTCACAATCAAAGCAAACAAAAAAAAATCCTAGATTACAATGAAAATGAGCTGCTCCCTAATGCATTGTTTACAATAATTTATGGGACCCAGACAGCACAGCGTCAAAGGCATTTAAGAGGATTTGTATTGAAAAGTAAATACATAATTCTAATTATAGCAGAGTTACTCATAATTCATCTTAGCTATTCAATCTATCCGATAAATCATCTTTGATTTTTAATTGTATTTTTTTCTTGCCTTTTTTTAAACTCATGATTGTAAGTAATCTTTTCTTTAAATAACTATCTACGACTAAACGCACCTTTACACTTGATAATTTCAAAAATGATGTGCCAGGCCAGTTGACCCACTAACCAGACACATAAGACAGTGGTTCCAAATGACTTGACGTTGTACACTGTCTGTTTCATATTGAAACCTAAAAACATTGTCACGGCTGTGGAAGAAATACAAACAAAACAACTGAATTAAAAACCAAAAAGACTTGATTGAAGATTGACCAAGTTCTTGGAAGGTCAGGAAATAGCTGAGAGAAACTGGGAGAAAACTGGGAGTTTGAATTTTGGGAATTTTAGAACGCCCCTGAAACCACCCAATATGATGGGTACCTAGCATTAGGCTAGGCTTCCGAACCGCTGTGCACGGGTTCCTGGTGAAGACTGGGATTCTTAATTCTGGGATCCCTGGGCACCTCTGAGTCCACCCAGTTCTAATGGGTATCTGACATTAGTTGGGGAAAGTAAAAGCAGTTGGTCGTTGGGCTGGCTACATGACACCCTCGTTTCCATAGGCCATATAAACAGATGACCTTTACATCGTCTGCTCTATAGACCACTAGGTCTGAAAGTGGATTTTTTTCTCTATTTATATATTGTTCTGGCCACTTAACATTTAAACAAAATAACCTAGGTTCAAGAGGGTCAGTAGTCTCAGACACCATGCCTCAAGCTAAGGTGATACACTTAGGGTCAGAGTGACCCGTCAAAACTTTTAGTACAATGTAATACAAACAGCAAATCTACAGAAGTCACGGACCTTGGAGAAGATGGACCTCCAGCTGAAAGGTTTAAGACGCATGTCGGTGAAAGCCAGAGTCATCTGGAAGCCGACAGGCCGAAGACCATCATCTCTAAGCAGATGCCAAGCAGACAGTCAAGACGTGGGGACAGTTTGTGAGACTCGCCCAAAACCGAGACGCCTGGAGGAAGCTGGTTGGTGGCCTTTGCCCCAGACGGGACCACAAACAGATATGAGATAAGGAATATAAAGACGATATATTGTCTCGTACTTTTTTGAACCAACCACCAAAAGGAAAAGCTTAGTTCAATCTGCATCGATTTGTCATACTTCATTCTATTGCTTAGAATTAGACTGTTTGGATCATAAATATTCTTCTTCTTCCTATTATTTTTATTTTCAAATTAACCAAAGGGAGAGAACTTAAGAATTAATATTTTTAAAAGGTAGTTTTTTGGTTATCGGAAATTTTTCATAAGTAACGAAATAACACTGTTAAAGAAATAGCAACAATATATGGCTGACTGGTCGTGTAGTACGAGCTCTGGACTGTCATTCTATGGTTCGAACCCTGCCCTCAACCATCCCCCAGTTCAGCTTAATTGGACGTAGTTTGCTCTAGGATGTAATAATCTTCAATTGTGAGGGAGCATCCGGAATGTTTAAATAAAAAAACAAGAAAGTGTTATGGCAGTTATGGCACGATTTAGGAATTTGGGGGGTAAAAGTTATTTGTTTCATCCCAAGGAAAAGTTTTCAATTAGAGACAATGACACGACAAGCTAAAAAAAGAGACTAGGATTTTAGGAAGAATAGCGAAATGTTAACAGACTACTTTTGACAGATCTATTTAGAGTCAGGTTTTAGGAACGTAGAGATTTAGCCTGACGATATTCAACGGTCCCCTTCCTAAGTATTCAACTTTTTGTTCGACATTCGCTATCAGTGTCGACGAACTTCTCTAGTGTTAGCCTTTGGCCTGTGTTCTTTGATTTCGTTGTTTCAATGTTACCTCCGTGTGATGTATCTACATAGAGAGGGACATAGCGTGGAAGCGCCTCACAAAACAATATGAAACGTTACGATGAGCAAGCTTTAATATTACTTAAACATACCTGCTAATAAGTGAATTATTTGACCTAGGATCTGATGACCCCAGTTAAAATAGACTCTCACTTTGTCGTCTGGTCCAGGACGTAGCATGCCAAAAATAAGTTGGAGTATTACCAGCGTTAGAACTGTCAGCCCAACGTAGGAATGGGGCACTGAACTCTGTGTGACGAAATGATGTTATATGTTGAGAGATAATGCAAAATATTGACCTGGCTGCTAACAGCTCACTATCCTTTAACGATGTTTATAATGCATTTACTATTTCTATTTAGTCCTAAGTATTTAGTCTCGATATTTAGTTCATATATAAGAAAACGGCAACCTTTCGTATTTCAAGTCCAAACTGAGAGAAAACACAAGTGAAAGCTATGACAGTGAGAGAAACGACT